CCCCCAGTCCACAGCACAAACACAAGCTCATGAGAATTATTAGCAGAAAAATTAGAAGTTTCTGAGACCCTTCTATGCTGGGCAATGTCCTTCCTGAGCTAAATAGGTAGGTAGGACTGTTTATACAAGATCCTAATTCATCTTCAAGCAGGAGGGAAGAGCCACAGTGCAATTACTGCTGCATTGGCCACAGCTCCATGTGATGTGGAGCTCTGGCCTCTCCAGGGGTGCAGTTTAACAAGGGAGCAACTCATCACAGCCCAGTTATGAAGGCAAGAGTCAGACAGCCACAGGAAATCGTCATGAGCATAATTCCATGCAATTTCTGATCCTTTGCCTTACACGTGTGTGCTCCATTCCCGAGTCAATGCACTCCCTCTGGTGGCTGATTTACTGTCTCAGCTCCACTCCGATTTGGGGTTGAGGTTCCATGTGAGCAGATGGCTAAAGGAACTGAGAGAGCAATAATACTGCTTTTATTAGGCTACTTTATCGTTTTATGTTCTCGGCACCGAGGGCACACATAAGGTCCGTCCATTCAAATGTATTTAAAAATAATCCCCATTCACAGGAAAAGGTGAAGCTAAAAATATTCTGCTCAGAACAGCTGTTTCTGGAAAGCTCTAAAACATTACATTTTTATCAGGTCAATGATCTGTTTGCCTCAATGATCTGCTGTTTTAAGACCCATGTTGGTCATTCACAAAAGTGAAATGTGAGATGTGTCAAAGTCCTTTTTAGTAATTTCCTCTAATTTCCTTTTAGGATCTGCTCCAGCTCACATTGCCAGCTTTTCTGGATAGAAAACACCTTTTTCTTCTCATAGCATGGCAGTCAGGACAATAGAGGCTATTGCAGCTTGTAAAGCCACAGGGAGAAACTCTGTGCTGGAAATCCTCAAAAGAGAAAGAAATATCCACTCTGAAAGGATAAACCTCTTTTGGATGGGTTTTTTATGTCATCTGTTCATGCAGGTGATTGATTTGCCTACATATTTTTAGAGAATGCTTATTGTTAAGCAAAGCCACTGATAAAGAGGCATTCAGTAATTAAACAGAGTTGTGAGGCTGGGAAACATCAGTAGAAACAGTATTTACTTAATTAGCTGTCATGCTGTGTTTCAGAGGAGAGAAACACAAGCAGATGCTGCTGTGAACCTGCTTGCCTGTAGGTTGGTGCACTCCAGCACCTGGTGACCTTGCCTTAAGGAAAAGAGCTGCTCCCACACATCCAACAGCTGGATTTGGGTGCTGACCTGGCCACATGTACACTGCAGTGAAAGGGCTCAGAGCTGTCTTTGAAGCAAGTTTATCGAGGGCAAGCGAGAGAGAGGTGGGATGGCTCATTTTATTTCTCACTGTAACCTCATCCATCCAGGTGAAAGCATGGCCCAGGACAGGCACTGCTGCTTGGTCAGAGGATGGAGTCTGCAGATCCCCTTGGTTCCTCTGGCTCTGCAAATTCAACCAGAGCTAATTTTAGAGGCCGGTGCTGATTTTAGAGGCCAGACTCCCTAACAACCATCTTAAAAAAGATCCCCTGATGTCTACATAACCTTGAATTAACTGTTTGTCTCAGACACCATCTAATTTCATAATCTGTAACATCACCATTGAATATCTGTCATAATTTACTTAATTGCATCTCTGTTGCTACAGTGCTTCAATTTGGGGAAATTTCTGTTTTCTTACTCAGGAAAACAGTTTACACTCTCAAGACCAATTTGCCAGCTGGAGCATAGTTCTTCTGCAAATGGATGCAAAGATAAGGCTCTCATAAATATCTGAAAGCACCATCATCTCTGCATTTACACATTCAACAGCATGAATCTCAATGACAGTTCATGCTTGCTCCTAGCACATGAGGCTCTGATGGTGGTCCCCTGCAACAGGTCCTGTGGGTTTTCAAGCATGGTCATAGCTCCAATCTGGCACTCAGGAACAACTTGGGAGTGCAAATTCCACAGAAAGATAGCAGGATTTTTTTTTCCCTCTTTTATAAGAATTTTCTTCCCAGGAGGAGATAACTGTGCTCCTGAACTGGGAGTGAGGGGATCACCAGCTGGTTCATCAGTGCAGGGGATTATGCTGATGTGGCTCTGTGCCATTTGACAGTCATGTGCAGAAATAGGACAAGAGTTTCCCAGTTCAAAACATTAATAGACACCAGAATCTATTCTTTAAGAGCTTGGATCATATGTTTAAAACAACTCAGAGATCCTTCTGAATGTTCATGTATCCTCAGGGAGTTTTAGTGTGGTCCTGATTTAGTGCTTGTTCCAATATGAATGAAATGTTCTCTTTAGCATACTAGCCTGATTTTATTGAATGTAATGATACTTGCATATTTCCATCAAAATCTTATCTCTCCAGTATTACAAGAGAAGCTTGCAGTCTGGATAAGGGCTTTATATTATTTAATAATTGTCATCTCATTCTTAACTGATGTAAGTGAAAGTGGAGCAGTGTGTACTGTACTGATAAAATGGTCTCACCAGACAAAAATGGAAAAGAGACAACCTCCCTCCAATATTTGTTCATTATGTTCATGATTTTCTACTGAGCCTGGCCTGATGTTTTAAAATATCTCTATTTTACTACTTGTATTAAAATCTAACATACTTATTACAGTTTTGGTTTCCACTAATTAATTGGAAAAATCCCTCGTAATCATTGTGATATTTTTTTTATCTCCTGACTTGTGTATATAGAAGAATTATTGCTATCATTTGAAATAACTTTTGTGGTTTGATATATGAATCCCAAAGTTAATCAAATTGTGATGTCTTCATATCAGTGAAAATTGTTTTGACATTCAGAGAATGTTACCACTTTTTCAACCATGTCATAAATATTACTATCCATTCCATCAGTATAACATGACCATTTATACTGATGTATTTCTTTATGAAGAGATACAGCTTAAATTCCTTTTTTATCCAAATACTCTTGTACCCTTTATATGCCTAAAACTTCACATTTTGTATTTTGGAGATTTTCTCAGCCTGCCTTTAGTCTATGACTGCAGGAGTTAAGGACTTTGTATTGAAAAGACAAAATCCCAAAAGCCTTAAATGATTTGTCTTCCTGGCATTTGTTTAAATCCTGAAGTGTGTCGTTATTCCAACTTTCAGTGGGCCACAGCAAAAATTTAACTAAATAGGAATTTGTTTGATCATAGGGTGCAATTCTGCAGTTTTCATCCCATTGAGGATGAAGGTGACTGAAGGTTTTACTTATTTCAGAAGACCTTGTAGGTTTAAGATCTTTCAAAGGAAAGGGAAGACAGAGAGATAAGGAAAAAGTCAGTCAGTAAGGTTTTAGAAATTCTTTTTTCTTGGCAGTCACTGTCTTTCTCATGAAACTTAGAAAAATGGACTCTGTTAAACACATACAACTGAAAGACTACTCTTACAACTTGTTATAAGCCTACCATTGTTAGGAAAAGATTGTCATGATTTTTTCCTTACTTTTTTTTTCTATGTGAATCTAAATTCTCATCTTGAGGAGGCTTAAATGACTGGGGAGAAAATAACAAACATTTGGCACAACTGGGGTAAGTCCTAAGTTAAGTTTAATAATTATTGTAATTATTTTAAAAATCTTAATTAGTTATCTCAAGAAACATCTATATTATGAGGCTTGTTTTAAAAGTGAGAATGATGGAAACTTTTGGTCACACAGTTCAGAGAAAAGATGCTGTCTTTTGTCTCATTATATTTGTTAATGCTTTTTGATTATGAAAGAAAAAAGAAAAACCTACAATTTAAAAAAAAACTATGACAAACAAGCTAACAGCAGCTTTTAACAAGATTAAGAAATCCTTCCAAGAAATGGGAAGGATTAAATGTGAGTCAGGTTCAGCAGAATCACCCATGGCTCCCTCACTTACTTAAAATGCACATGATTTATAAGCTCTGTGTGTCTGAAACAGCTATTTACAGTTTAAAAGAAAAACAAACAAGCAAAACACTCAAAAAAAAAAAAACAGCAAAAAACCACAAAAAAACCCTTTAGGTCAAAATGCTCATTTCAGGTGTCTTGTAGAGAAGCTCCGGTTCCAGGCGATGGCCTGGTGCAGCTTGACTCAGTGACAGCAAAGAGTTCACTGGGCCCCTTCCTCAAGGATTAATATCTGTAGTGAGATAATTTAGCTCAATCAAAAAAGTAAACAAAACAGATAGGAATTCCAAGACAAGATTCAACATCCAAGCCTTCTGATGATATTCTTGAGGCTGTTTTCCTCCTGTTGTGTCACAAATAGTCATTTGGCAATAATTCTGGGATTTCTGTTCTAGATGATGAAATGAGTTTACCAGTCCACAGGGGCAATTTGGATTGTGGAGTTTTCTTTGGTTTGGGTTCCAATACAGGTGCCAAAGGAAAAAAGGAGATGAATCAGCAACTACATGAAAAATAATCACAGCTGTGAGAAAAAAGGCATTCTTTAGCTCTGGCTTCAGGTCTATAGAGCTTTTACCCCATGTAGTAGACTATATAAAATAACACCACCTTACTTTTGCCTAGCAGAAATACAAAAGCAGGGGTCCTTGGATCCATGAATGGGAGCATAAATAGTGCCATAAATAGAATGCTTCTCCTTCGGACAAAATGGGTCTAGGCTGTAGAAAGTAAAAATGCTTTGTTGTCTCTTGGTCTCACCAAACAAGACATGAAAAATAGTGTAGCTGAGAAGGAAGAACCTTTCCCCAGCATATTAAAAGAGCCTTGGTTAGTACAGCTGGGCCCCCTGATTTCAACACCACTTGAAATGCAAAATACTTGTGTCATGAAAAATCAGCGTTGCTCTTCTCTATCCCCACTCCAACGCCATAAGGAATCTGGGGTCATGAAGTGAAACTTGCTGAGAAGTCATCCCCTAAGAGCCACATGGTTTGTCCCAGCTTTTGGGGCGGATCTTCCATCCAGGGAGCTGGCCTGGGAGGTCTCTGCGTTCTTCCCTTTCCGATAAAGGGGATGGGCACAGATGTGAAGGCAGAGATGTCTCCAGCCCTCGGCTGCCTGCTGCTGCTGCTCCTGGCGGGCTGCCTGGGATGCCAGCACCACGCCTGCCGCTGCCTGGGCAGGGTCTTCATCTGCCAGGAGAGCCGGGTGCTCCAGGTTCCCCGGGACATCCCTGCCAACACCACCGAGCTGTAAGTGGGGAAAGGGAGCGGTTGGGAGCAGCAGCCTGGTGGGTGGCTCTCCAAACGAGCTGCTGCTTGGCGAGCCAAAGGTCAGGATTGCAGGGAGTCGCTTGGGAGACTCCATGCCAGCTGTTTGCAGAGCACAGCCCTTCCTCCGACGCTCACTTAATTACACCTTGAAACTCCTCTCCATTTCTCTGATCGTGCTCATTGAAAGATCTCTGTTAAGAAAGGATTTTGCACGTTATAATATAAAGTGCAGGCTAAATTTGAAACAAGCATCCTTGGTGCTGTGACAGTAATTTGAAGCATGAAGTCTAAGCTTTCTTTACAGCTTTGCTTTAGTGTTGTCGGAACGTGCAGAGCAACTTGTCTGCCCCAAACAAGTCGATGATGAGTGTTTGTTTGTACTGCAGGAGCTTTCCAAAGGTTTGTGCTTGTTTGCCAAGAAGCAACTTAATGTTTTCCCTTGAAATCTCAAAGGCATTGCAGAAAGGACTCTGATAAACATTCAGAGAGGGATCCTCCTCCACCAGAGGAGAAGCGTGGTTGTGGTTGGAGAGAGTGAACAATGTGAAGATAGAGGAGGGGTTTTGTCTGTCTTAAAGCTTCTCATTATTTTTCATAAAAGTAATATGAACCATAGTGTGTGGCAGCTGTTTTCTGTGTCAGTAGCACAGGCAAGCAATCAAGCTTACGCAATGGAAAGTATCTAACTGCAAGTGATTGTTTTCCTTTTGATAGTTTTAAGGCAAATATCACCCTTTGCCAACACCCCCACAGACATCTGGCATTGTTACAACCTAAAGCAAAACCAAAAGGAGTAGTCCTGGATGAAGCCTTTGGATAATAGGTGGAGTGGCAAGTTTGAAGGGAGGATACAGTGAAGAATTATGTGTCACTAGTTAGAAAAATATACCCCCATCCCAGTTTTACACACCACAGCATATCCATGGTTATTATGCCACAGTTTTCCTAGGGCAGAAGTTTTGTTTTCTTCAGAAGGAGGAGTTGTTATGCTCACTGACTAAGCAGACTGCAGTGAAAACTTGAGAGAAATGTCTGAATTAACCACAAAAGGTCAGAAAAGTTTAAATCATTCACACAACTAGAGGAAAAACTAATCCATCTGTGATTTAGGTCATCTAAATCCTGAGTGAACTGTGCTCCAGGCATGTACAGCTAATTTTGTTTAATTTTGCTTTGATTGTTTCTTTAGATTACAGAGTTAAGGTCTGCCTTCTAGGGATTAAGCAAAAGCATTTTTTAATTATTTCTGCAAAGTAGAGTATCACTGAAAAGCACCTGTTAGTAAAATTGGATTTGTTTTCTCCTTGTTAAGTTCTCGAGAGTTTGTTGAGGATGCTAATTTATGGGTTCTTAGCACGAGTGTTATTCTCTGAAACAGGCAGAATACAACATTAGTGTGACTGAAAACAGCAAACAAATCCTTTCTTCTGCCAGTGCTGTGCAAATACTGGATTTAGAATCTCTCAACTTGACTCTCTTCTCATTTTCTCAACATAAACCAGCTTTTGGTTTCTCAGGAAGTAATTCAGGTCCCGTTCCATCAGTATAGCCCTGGGACTGATTTCAGCATGCCTTAAAAATTTGAAAACTGCCTAGAGTAGCTTTGAATATACCAAACCTTAGCATTACCAAAGCCAGATACATTAGCTGAAGAGCTATCAAGTGACAAATAAATCTTAGATTTTTCCTCCAGTATCAAAGGGGAACTCTAGAAAAGTGCTTTCCTTTGCATCTCTCCACTGAGTGCCCACCGGGGTGATTCAGGTGACTAAAATAGGTTTTACTGCTCCAGATGACACTGCAGGTACACTCCAGGTAGCAGGAAAATCTTGCTTTATGTTTTCTCAAAAAGACTTAATGGGTGAAATGAGTTTTTTGATCAATGTATCAACTCAGGCACAGAAGGCCATGGTGTGTAAGAACCCTGTACAGGACACAAGCAGAGATTTCTTGCTACAAACAGCTCCTTTTTTCACTTAAGAGCTCATTCTGGGAGTCTGGATGCAGTCTGGTTTTATTTAATATAAAGGAAGGGCGTTCACTTCAGTACACTTACAGCTCTTCACCTTCCCTTATGTGATCTTGATAGCTTTCCTAAGTTATCTTGGAGTCCTTCCCTAGTGCCTTTAAAATGTTGAATAGCATGCTGGTGAATGCTTTAGAGTGAGAACCAGAGCCTGATCAGCCTCAAGCACTTCTCCCTTTGCCGTGTGTTTCTATTTCACTACAGCTGTGTCTGAACTTGGGACACTGGCATGTGGCAGCCAGCTCTGACACTTGGTAGGAAAACTCATGACAGAGGTAAAAATAGGGCCCTCCCTAACAATTATCTCTTTGCCATTGCTGAATTTTTTAATTGTTATTATTTTTTAGTGTTTGAGTGCTGGTCCTGAACACGGGCTGCCGTGCGGGATTTCTTTGCGGTTGGCTTCCCCACAGAGAGAGCTTAGGCTCCAAGGGAAACGAGCTCTGCAGTGTGGTGCATGAGACAGGGGTTTGTTCCTGGCTGGAATAGCATCTGCTTTAGCAAGAGTGCTGCAGAGGGAAGGCTGGTAGCCTCTCAGGGTGTGATTTCATTTTGTACTCACTTTGTGGAAACAGAGCAGGGATCAGAATACACATGCTTCCGTCACTCTAATTTCTGCCACATCTACTTTTTCACTTACAGGCCAAAATCTCACAAGAGGATAATCACAGCTTGGTTTGTCCATTACTTTTTGCAGATTCCCAAGCACTCTGCAGCTGACATATTCTGAGTGCTTACAGGAGAGGCTGTGGTTATTTTCTGCTTTGCTTTATAATCTTTGCCTGGATAGAAGAATTTTTGGTACTTTTTTGTACATACCAAAATGCCTGAGAGATGGCTCTGACTTACAGCTTTGGAGTCAATCCATTAGAAACTGGAGACCAGCAGTTCAGATGGGAAATGTAGGCTCACCAGTGTCAAGTATTAGCAATTATTTGCCTCTGGGGAAGAGAGGAGGGAGTGACTCAGTAGCAACTGCAGGCAGTTTGCTCCTTGAAGATCTATTCCAGCCTTAAAATCCAGTGTCAAGTTTTGTAATCCATCATCAGTATTCAGTAGGATTTCATTTATTCATTAGAGGTCTTGCTTTGTAATGCAAACAAAAATAGCATTCTCAGAAGGGATCCTTCTTAAGATTTAACAAACTACTTTAAGTAGAAACATTTGGATAGCACCAAGGAACAAGAAAACAGGAAATGGCCTCAAGCTGTGCCAGGGGCAGTTTAGGTTCAATATCAGAAAAAATTTCTTCCCTGAAAGGATCATCAGGCTTTGGGAATAGGCTGCCCAGGGAAGTGGTGGAATCACCATCCCTCTAAGTGTTGTGGATGTGGCACTTGGGAACATGGTTGAGTGCTGAACAAGATGGTGCTGGCTTCACAGTTGGACTCAATTATCTGGGAGTTCTTTTCCAGCCATAATGATTCCATGATTTTAGGAGGCAGTTTAGCCATTGTCAGAGCAGTTTAGAGCTATGTTATATAGAGTGTTTTCTCCCAAGCATCTGCAAACTATAAACAGCAGGGTTTTTTACTTGCTTGCTGCATAGGTGTTTTTTTACAATTGCTCAAGGATATTTACTTTAGACTATCAAGTCAAGGCTGAGGAGATGTCTGAGCACTAAAACATCAGCTGCCTAGAAATAGCAAGTCCTGTGTTGTGTATTGAGGAGTCAGATGTGCTTCCCAGCTACAGAAGCTGCAAATGATGTGAATTGTAGCTGCAACACTGTTTTTGACAGCTGCAATTAGGATGTTTCTTTATTCTTTCGCACTTAGAGTTGAAATTACCCTGAAACCTGCAGACAGCTACACTTCTTGCATTGGTGTTTATACTGATGGACTGACCTTAACCTAAGAAAGGCAAGGTGTGAGAGGATAAAGTAAACTAACAAAATTAAGACCCATGAAGCTTTGAAGTCTCTGTGTTGTGGTGGTAAATCACACAGTCAATCAATAAACCCACATTTTTTCGGGAATGAGATGAGAATGTTTTCACAGCAGAGCATCTTGAAAATGTATTACATGCTGACTAAAGCCTTTTTAATTATTTTAGTTTTTAATTCAAACCAGCTTTGCATCTGTTAGGGTTACATTCTTCTCTTCCTGAATTTATGATCAGTTCGTACTTTGAAACAGAAAGCAACAGAGTTGCTGTAAGATTGCTGTCTGTATATCAGTGCAGTCGTCCAATGATTAGGCTGGATTCTGTATTTGACATTTTAATTGGGAGGATAAAAAGAAATAGGCAGGTCATAAGAAAGGAAGAGAAAGAAACAGAAGAAAATTACACCAAAGGATAATAAACTCAGCAGAACAGATCCTTGGCTGGTATAAATGACCAAAGATATATAAATATTTACAGAAACATTCAATTCCTAAACCTTCAGGGGCTTTTCAACACAAGGAGTTACCCTGCACACAATGGAAGCTGCTTTGCAGTGCGGTACTCTGCTAGTTTATTCCTGATGCTATAAATAAATACCTGCACATGGTTCTCACCTTACTTATAGGGTCTGCAGCTTGATACATGTATGAGAGAGGTATGGCCAAGTCTGAAGATGTATAGTTGTGTGTGTGTGTGTATATATATATACACACACATGTATGTATGTATAAAATATATCTTTGAAATGAAAGTACATTCACTTAAAATTTAATGACTTGCTAAATCACTGAGCTTTTTCCAGGGAAACAGTGAAAGCCAAGACTTGATTTTGTTTGCATGCAGCACTGGGAGGATACCAAGCTGATGCCCTTCGCTGGGGTCAGCTACAGATAGATTCTCTCAATGTATAAATTCTGTTTTTTCCAGCAGTCTCTGTTATACACATGCGCACATACACACACACAAACCAGCCTGTGTCACATCCCCACACAGCTGAAACCAGGCAAAATGGGCTCCTGGGCTGATGAGCTCCATGTCCTGAAATCAAGCCTCTCTGTTAGACATT